ATCAAAACAGAAAATGAATGCTCCACCTAAAAGGGACAGGCTGCTATTCAGCTCTAGCTGACTGTTCATATGTGTAATTTCTCAGAAGCAGCCAAAAATCTGGATTTCTATGTGAAGTCTCTTAACTTTAAGTGCTGGCAACTACTTCAAAATGTGTTAAAAAATTCTGCAGGTCAATAAGACATGACTAAGGGCTGGAAATGGCTTAGGTTACAACCTTGATCTAGCCCGACTCCCTACCTTGGGTATGACGAACAAAATCAGGCTCACTGAGCATCCTGATTTTTGGTAGAGGTCACCCAGGTGACCAAGGACTACAACTTAAATTTTCTGGTAATTACAACTGGATAATCCTATCTCCCAGAGAATTTCTTACATTTATATAAGTGAAGTATCCCATGAAGTGTTGAGTATTATTTGATGGCAGATTTAAAGGCATGTGGCTTCTGCCCTCAATGTAAAATGTAATGTAAAAGCATTTCCCACATTGCACATTCTACTTCACATCCAAGAAGTTATCAATGAAAAGCATACATGTTTGCCTCATTCATATAATTAAGTTTCAAAAAAAGAATTTTAAAACACAACGTTATAAAACTTCTATGTAGGTTTAAGTGTGTCATCTCTGCTTTAACATTTTGAAATCTAACGCCTTTTGAAATATTCAGTACAATTACCTAAGATACTGGGGAACATTAAACAGTTTTTCTTGCTATGTTGCATTTTGCTGTTTTTGATGAATTTTCAAAAATTAGACATAAGTTAAAAAAATCTAATACTATTGCATGTTAATCAGCTTGAGTACTAACTCAAGTAGATTTTAACACTTGAATTTCTTACACAATCTGTTGACAAGAAAAGTAAAACTTTTGTCAAGTAGCTTCGCATTTCCACATTCCTTGCACTAAAAATTTATGCTTAGTGAGGTGGAACTGTACTTGCACCTTACTTTTAATTTTATAGTTCACAGGAAGACATGCAGAGTGAATGAATGCAAGGTCATTTAGAAACAACTTTCTACTTAGCTAAATGCAAAACACTGGGCACAAAAAGGACCCCCACAGCCAATACACAGCATGAATAACTTATAGAATCAGACACAACACTAGCAAACATAGAAGGGGCAACATGCAAAATACAATTTTAATAGGGAAGCCTCAAGTAATTACCTTATAATCATGAAAACATAGGGAAAGGAAGATGCACTAAAAACCACACAATTCATTAACATAGATTTGCACTTTATTTTAATTTTGCATCCTGAGATAATAAAATTTTATCCGACAAGTGAACAATGACAGAAGCAGCAGTGAAAATTTCAGAGAGGCAGGTATCCTTCATTTTGGCACAGCTGTATATGGGTTGAGTTCTTCCAGGGGAGTCACCCCTGGACTCAAGGGAGAAAAAAATGAATTCATTCCACAGGCTATGTAAAAATACAAGATGCATGAAAGTTTTTGGTTTGAATGAACATATCCATTATTATTTTTTCCTAGTAAAGCTGTCCCAACAGAAATCCTCTGAGAAAAAGTAGAAATCCTAGGTTTTTCAACCAGTTGTTTTGATCAATGCCCACTTTCTAGCTATCCAGATGTCCTGTTTTTGCAGCTAAGATTTGTATGTGGTTGGTTCAAGGATGGCAAACTAGCTTGTAGATTATATAATTTCAAACATTTATAACTTGTTTCAAAGTCCAGGCATTAAAACAATTTTCTACTATTTGCTTACTAGAAAAATGGAAAACTAAGCCAAGATAAAAGAACACAAAATAAGCAGGAATAAAAGGAACATCTGAGAAATTATTGCCTTGATTCATCATGTTGAGTTTATACACAGAACTACTTTAAGAGACTCAGAAATTGATATGTAGTCCAATGTTAGAACATGACATTATAACACTTTCCACATTTGCAATCCTATACTTGTGTGTATGTATGAGTCACATGTACACACCTGAATAAATCAGCTCAGTTATATCATCCTGAAACAGAAAAAAAAAAACCCCAAAGGCAAATTCTAACCTGAAGTTATATAGTCCCACCTAGCCAACACACACACACACTCACACACTCTAGCATTTCATTATTTACGGGCTATGTAAGCAATCTATGGAAAGGGTCAAATTAATCTGAGTTTCTTTTACAAAAGTGGCTCCCAACATTTTCACCATAAGGATCCCTTCATTATTCCTTCCCCATGTTTTCAAGCACTTACTAAATTGCATGTAATAGGCTTTCTCATTATTTTATTAATCAAAACCGTATAGCCATTCACAGTTTCTGATCAGCATAGATAAGCAGCAGTGTTAACAGACAGAATCGAAAGAATATAAGCAAAATGCATGGAAATTCAATGCCTTAGCTGGCCTGTGCAGCAGGAATACTATGGGTAAATGTATGATTTCTAGTATAGTTTTGGAAATATTGAAAAAGGCTCAAGGATATCCCCTGCCGCTATCTTCATCTGCCCCAAGTTGGGAACCACTGTTTTACATTCACCTGCTTTTCCTCCCTAAATCAAGTATTAACACAATTACCCATGTTTAACACATAGGCGTTTAATAACAAAATTTATTACTGAAAAAACAGATCAACTGCAGCACTCATTCTATAAGGTCTGAAAAAGAAAACATAACATGGATTTAAAGGAATCTATTTTAGAAATTACACAATTATGATATCCAATATATCTTTCAGTCAACTTGAAAGCACACTAATAAATGAAAAAAATCCTCAATTCCCCTGTGAGGTAGGTCCAGATTATTGTCCCCACTTCAACAATGAAGACATGAGGTACAGAGGAATAAAGCAGCAGAGCTAAGAATTAAACCAAAAGAGACTTGGGCTTGAATTCCATACCATTTTCCTTTTCACCTAATTGTATCAATTTGTTCCTATAGATCTTTTTAAGGGTATGGAACTTGATAAGACACTGAAGCAGTTGTTGGATATGATATGAAACTCTTCACATAAATGTCACAGTGGGTCCTCCCAAATCTCCTTTGTTGTCACAGATATAATTGTTGCCTAGATACCAACTGCATAGTCAGATACCACATAGGCAAAACACACAGACCTCAGTCCTTAGTTCCTAGGGAAAGTACATTCACTCTTATCATCATGGAGGGACTAAGGTCAAGCAGGCATCAGGTTCTTTGAATCTGTGTGATATTAAAACACAACAGTTAGCAGCCAGTTGGCAAACTGAACTTTTACTGTGTCCAAGGCACTGTGAGAGTTTCCACCAAGGGTAGTAGATCTAAGAATAATCATTCTGAGATTCTGTAGAGTAAAAATTTTCTAAGGATTTCTAGAATCACAGAATGTTAGGTGATCTCTAATTTTCTGTCCAGCTCTAGGTTCAACCCCATGATTTTACAAAATGAAGAGACTGACATACAATTTAGGTGACTTGCCTGGGCCCCACAATATCACATCATTTCCTCATATAGTATGAATTTGACAAAGTCCACAGAAAATGAAACATTTTCTAAGGTTGCCATCAAATAAAAAGGCTGGCTTAGAATCAGGTAAGGGACATTTGGGGATAAGAAAAGGATATGGATATACGCGTGTGTGTATGTGTGTGTGTGTGTATGTATATCCTTCAATTATTTTTAGTCCACATTACATGAACAAGTATTAATAAAACCTGTCCCTTTTCTGCAGAAAATATCCCAATAGTTCACCATTTAAAGGGACATGAACAATTTGACAATTGTTGCAAAAGAGATTTTATTTTTTAAAGCAAGACTTTTATAGGCATAAGAGGACCTAATTTCAATGGATCTGAGCATTTATTCATTTAATCAAATTAGCAAAAAATATTTTCACTATGTGAAATTGCTCCAATTAATCAGGTGAATATAATTTCTATATCCTTCTGGGTCAAAATAATAAGTTCTAGTGAAACATTGTTTGGGGGCTTTATGTTCAAGTAGTAAAGTTTGATTTTCTTAAGAAGCAGCTTATTTGTAAACAAAATAAAAATGCTAATGATTTTTTTAAAGTTCTCATACATTTGAAAAAAACCCTATTCAAAGGCTTACAAATATTATCAAATTGTACTCAAATTATCAAAAAACAAGATAAATTTCATTAAAAATGGTAGAGTGATAAATATTAAGTTTGATTAGTTGCTCAGGCATTACTTTTACAGGTCATAATGATATGAATAGTATGTGTATTAAATACTTAAGTGAGTTTTGGTAGGGCTTCAAAGATCATTGTCTTTCCAGAACCATGTTAAATTACATGTTTAGTAGCATTAGAATTATACTAATTTTTAAGTGAGTGATAGTCCTTTTCTGTAATATTTTGTCACTAATATATATGATTGGGAGAAAACAAGGAAACAGGCCTTGTGTAACAAATAAAAGAAATATAATATGCTACTGAAATATTCTTATACCTCATTGAAATGGATTTCTAATTTAATAATCTCTCAATTCATTCATTCTGCTTCCTTCAGCATAAGTTATCTATGTTCACAAAAGACAAGGCACTTCTCCATCTACTTCTTTTTTTTTTTTTTTTTCCCCTTTTTGTCTTTTTTCGTGTCCGGCAACGGATCGCAACCCTCAGTGTCGTGCCCGCACCGGACTGGGACCGGCAATGGGATCGCAACCCTCGGCGTTGCGCCCGCACCTCGCTCAGCCAGTGAGCGGGAACCGGTCTGTATGTGGGATCCGAACCCTCGGCGGGAGCGCCGCCGCGCTCCCAAGCGGTGCACTGTAGCAGTGCGCCACGGGGCCGGCCCCTCCATCTACTTCTAATGCTTAACAACAATGGTCTCTTTCCTAAATTAACGTGGGTTTAGGAGGGAACAAACAGCAGAGGACATGTCTGGGGTGGTTTTATTAAATCTGTAAATAACGCTTGCTCATATTTGTTATTAATAATACACATGCTATTGGCCTTTTGGACAAGCTTAAAAATGACCAGTTAGACTGATTTATTAAACCAGAATCTTGGGCGGAATGAGAAGCATTGAAACGTTAATTTTAAAGAACAGTTTTACCTTGTAACCTCAAAGCCTTGTGAGGTTTACATACTCGTACTTTGGCAAATACATGTTATTTTTCTCTGGAATTACCAAAGCAGGTTTCACAAAGGAATATTATACAACAAAGAAATTAAAAATTACTTTCTTCAATAAAAAACGAACTTTCACAAAAACACTTTACTAACCCAGTGGAAAAATACAAGTATGTTTTACCCTGAGGATAAAAGAAAAAAATCTCGATGGGGGAGGAATTAATTACCACAGTGTATTCTGTCATTTCAGCATTCACTGTTGCCAATTTCACTGAAAAGAACCCCCCCCAACACTCCAAAATATCCATTTGTTAATCAGCTCCCTGCAAGGGAAAATAGTTTGAAAAAGCAGTCACATAAGAGAGAACAAAAAGAAGACTGGATGTTTTCTGGGTTGTTCAAGAAACTAAGATGAGTCAACTTGCATAATGAACAATAAAATAATAAATTTAAGAATGATTACAGTAGGTTTTAAAATTAAGTTTACACAAGCTGGCAAATGATTTTTATGACATCCTATTGTAACTTGAATTGTACTCAGTCCCCACTACTGATGATACACTCTATTCCTGTTTCAATATTTGTTTCATGGAAACAATTTACCACTTCCTGCAGTTCTTTGAGCAAAACCAAGCGTGATTTATACATGGCAGAAAAAGTTACTATAACCATATAAGCACCATATGGTCAAATTCTAAGGTTACAGAAAAAAATAAGATTTTTAAGGGTTAACACTTAAAAGCAATTATTCTATCAGTGATAGTGCTGGAAATCAATTTTGTTATTAAAATGTCACAGCATGAAGCATAAATTTGATGATATTAGCTACAACATAAACCACAGATACAGTTTTTCCCTGGCCATGGTTATAAAACAAGACATTTCGTATGCATTTTCAGAGGTTTCCATCTTGTCTATAAAAATACACCTTCAATTTTGCAGCAGGCAGACACATGATATTTGCAGGCATACAAAATATATTAAGCGTTAGAGATTTTGGGTGGCTGATGGGCACGGGGGTCATGGGGCTCTACAGAAGGAAGTGGAAAAGTGTTTATGCAGACAATTATAATCACATATCAAATAGTGCCTTTTTTTTTTTTTTTTTACTGGTTAAGGACTGAGGATTTCAAGTTGGGCATAAATTTTAAAAGTGGCTTCAAAAGTCTTGACCTTGTATGAAAGAAATGATTGCTCTCTTCACTGGGATGAATGATTGCCTAAAAACGTTTGCTAAAAGAGTAAGAGTAAGATGACAAATAAAATATTATTCAGTCCCAGTAACTTTTATTTTCAGCACTATGAATTACAAATAATGCCTACACACAGGCATACACTTGCAGTTGAATTAACTTAATATAAAGCTTTCATTATGCTAAAATTTCAAATTCTAGTACGATTAGAGTGTGGTACTCTCACTCATCTTAACTGTGAAGAGAAATATGCTCATACCAATAAAATGGCTAACCGTGTAGTAAATTTATAAGCTCAAATACTTTTGTCTAAATACTCGTCTTTTCTCATTAATAATATCCAAATGTTTAAAAAAGATCCTCAAAAAGAGGATTGAGAATATCTTATCAATTATGAATTGGCCACTATATATTCTTTAAATACAGCTTATCAATTAGTTCTCTCTCTTTCACAAAGCAGAATACTGAACTCCAGAAAGGGGTTAGCAGTGGCTTTCATGAGGGTCTCCAGATACCTACCAAGACATCTGAAATCTCAAAATATGCCAAAGGTCATAACTGTATTTTCAAAGGAAGGAAAGGATACATACAAGGAAATAAATGAAGGTTAGTAAGGCTGTGAAACGTGTCAGATGTCAAATTCTTTTGGAGGGTTGGGGTGAAGGACAAAACAGAAATTATTGAATTAAATGGAAAACATTATGTTCTTGGTTTCAGGTGCAATGCAGACTATCTGAGATAATGATTTCAATTTTAATCCACTTGTTACAAAGGGCAACCCTGCCCTACACCTGAAATTTTTAACATACTTATTATGGCTTTGCCATAAAATAGCATGTTAATGGTCTCTACATTCAAAAGGATGCTTGCAAACTTCATTCATCTTAAAATCTATGCAGAATTGTTGGCAATACAGTAATAGTAATATTACATTCTGTAAACCATGGCATACCACATTTTACATTATGCAAAGAGACAATATTTACAAGTCTTTAGGAGTTTAAATATTTTACCTAATAACATAAGTGATAATTTAGCAAAGTGCAGGACAAAACCAGTGCTATTAATTGCATGTCCTTTAAAAGCAGAGTAAAACCATTTCTAAAAGCTACCAAAAGCTTATTTAAGTGTGTCCAGTAAGGGGTTACAGAGCATTAAGTAGCCTAGAAAAATGATGCATATTTAGAAACAGTGAGTATGAAAATTATAAGGCAGCATGCTCAGAACAAGTTTTTGTTTTTAAACACCAGCAGTGATGTTTTATCTTTACTGGCAACTACATATATATGTATATGTGTGTCCACACGTACGCATGTATTTATTTAAAAATTGAGAGTGCAAAACACAAGCCTTATTTAATAACAAAAAAAGATGTGCAAATTTTCTGGTTAAATCAACACAAATAAAAGGGTGAGGAGTATATTCTACTATTATAAAGAATAAGTTGAACACAACAAAGGAGACCGTCTTCATTCCAAAATCACCTACAAGGCACTAAGGGTAGGAAATGACAGGAAACACAGAAGTGACTGAATAAAACTCCTCAGTCAGGTCGGAATATGGGATATTTTGGTAAGAATTCTATTAGTATTACCTGTAAAATAAAAAAAAAAAAACAAGAATATATTAACAAAATATTTTTCATTTAATATAACTTATATGTAATCCAGAAAGTCTATAATCATTTTTCACAGGACTGTATTTTGATCTTGGACTATATAAAATGAAATACATGAAACAGAGTTATATAAAGGACTTATCACAAGTTGTTATTAGATTGGTAATTTAAAAATTCAACTAGCAAACAAAAGTATTTACTGTAGCTAATAGTTTTTATTACCTGATTTAAATAACTATTTGTTTAGGTTCAGAGGACAAACTCTATTACATTATCGTGTCCTTCCCCCACCACTCCTTTTTTCTTTAGTGAAGTAGAAGGGATTAAAACTGCTAAACAGATTATTAAAAATACCTTTATATTATATCTGTATATTTTTCAATTAAAACAGTTGATATTAAGTGAGGATTACTAACTTTTACAAGTTGTTTATGAAAAATAATAAAGTGCCCAAATGGATTGATTAAAAATTTTAATTACAGAAAGGTTTGGAAATACAGTTATGCACCACATTAACTATGCTTTTGTTAATGACAGACTGCATATATGAAGGCGGTCCCATAAGATTATATTAGCTACACCATATAGCCTAGCTAGGTATGTAGGAGGCAATACCACTAGGTTTGTATGTGTACACTCTATGATATTTGCACTACGACAAAATTGCCTAATGATGCATTTCTCAGAACATTATCCCCATCCCCCCATTGTTAAGTGGTGTGTGACTACGTAATATAAAAAAACCTAAGATATTTTTGAGTATCCTATCTATAATGGATTTTTAATTTTTGGTCATTTATACATTTTCCCCGAAACTGTTCAAAGTGGAGAGAGATGCCATAATAATCCTTATTTATGAAACGTAAATGGAGTATTTATTATTAAATATATACTACATGTCAGCAACTTGAAGTTTGGATAAATTTAACATTCTTTTGAATATTAATGATGCTGAACTGATCACATTGGCTATATGTGAATTTATATTTATTACTAAGATTGCATAGCTTTCATTAAAAAACAAAAATAGAATTTATAGTTTCTTCACTAAAAGTTAAATGTCAGCCTCCCCCAAAAAGGCCAGAAACATGAATCCAGAATTCAGAAGTGAATTCCTATTTTATGCAAGTTTTGACAAGATTACATTTAGAAATATTTTGTTCAACAGCAGCTGTCCCCACCACCATATGCTATGGTTTGTGTCTATTAAAAGAAGATTAAGGTTGTACAATATTTTCATCTCAGCATACTTGCTGAGACTCTTCTAAGATCTAAGTAATTGTTAGCTTTCAATCTATTTTAGATTGGCTGCAAATCTAAAGAAGGCAAAAGGAAATCTTTATGTTCCATCTGACAAAAGTTCAGGCTGAGGAGAAAAAAGGCAGAAAGAATAGCTGACAAATGATAAACACAGTAAAATGTCACATTTAGGATGAAATCCAAAAGAAGTAATTAAAAACAACTTTATACTTACATACTCCATCATATTGTTAGTTTCGCATTTCCTTTTAGTCAACTTCCAGTGCAAAGCAAGCTAAAAAAGTATAGTTTTGTTAGGAATTTTTATATCAATTTAAACTAATTACAACCTAAACATTTGAATAAATCACTGAAAACAATACAGGAATAAGTATAAGATACAAAACACAGCACTTAAAAGTACCTTGTAAAGAATATATATTAAAAATTGAGTATTAGTTCTCTAACCCATTTTTTTGTGGCCTGAACATTTTTCATTTAGTACTTATTTTTTTCAATTTAATAATGCAAATATATGAATGGGGCACTTATTTCCTTAATATTTCTTACCTTGTGATACAATCTGTTATTTTCCCATTCTAATAACTTCTGAATTGATCTTCTGGTCTAAGAAAAAAGATCAAGACTTTGTTACAAGATGACCTGAAGAGCTTTGAAAACTATGTGTATGTATACTTTTCTGCTTACTTTTAAGATCCCATTATTTTCTCCTCTTGTTTTTCTATTAGAAATTATAAAAAATTATTTTAATTCTATTAAAAATTATAGAAAAAAATCAACATAACTGACAGAAAATGCCAAAAGAGAAGTAATATATTGGGTGATTATGTACAGTTATAGTACTTATCTATCAGATTTTTTTGCATAGTACATTTTTTATTGTTTATGAATATTCATGAGATACAATGCTGATTGTCATCACTCGTGCCCAGAATGTGATGGCCAGATCCATACTGGCAGCATGCCCATTACTACAATTTGAGATTATACCCTGTGTTCCCCACCCAATTATCCCCAACCTCCCTCCCCATCCCCCTTTCCCCCACTCCATTTTGTATCCCTAGGTATGTTCTCTCCCTCTGCAAGTCCAATGTACCACTGTGGTCTTTCTTTCCTTCCTTCTTTCTCTCTTAGCTCCCACTTATGCGTGAGTACATGTGGTATTTATCCCTCTGTGGTTTGCTTATTTCACTCAACATAAGCTTCTCAAAGCTCATCCATGTTGTTGCAAATGGGAGAATTTCATTCTTTTTTATGGCAGAGAAGTATTTCACGGTGTATATATACCACATTTTCCTTACCCACTCATCCAACGATAGACATTTAGGTTGATTCCATAACTTGGCTATTGTGAACAGAGCTGTGATGAACATGGGAGTACACATATCTCTTTGACATGATTTCCATTCCTTTGGGTATATACCCATATCTATCAGATTTTTATACATGCTTTTCAAAATGAAATATGTACTAATTACTCTGAGGTCATTCACTGGACTATTGTGAAAACCTTACCAATACTGCTACTTGAAATAGTAGTCCATTTACAGATCTAATTTAGATTTTCATATAACTTTCACAGGATTGCTTTTTCAATAAACATCTAATATGCCGAGTTAATCTAATTTCACATAGAAAGTTTTCCTATCAGAGCTGCTAGCACAACACCTGGCATATAGCAATCAGTCAAGGTCTATAGATTGAGTAAAGCAAGCCAACATATATCAGAATTTTCCACTGAAAAGAACATGTATATTACACTGTACTTCACATACATGAACGGCTATTTTGTATCAATTTAAAAAAGTAAATAAAAGAACCACACAACCAGTAGGAAAACATGTATTTAGAGGAAAAAATGTAAGTGAGAGAAGTAGCAATGGAGTAAACAGGGGGACGGAGGCTGAGTTTCTCCATTCAGAATGCATGTATTTTGTAGGGAGTAAGAAAAGTTTGCAAAGCCTTTGAAATCATTAAGATAGAAGATTATTAGGCATTTTCAATTCTTATTGGAAGAGTTTTATAAGGTTTCTGATTAAAAAAAATTGGTAGGCATTGTTAATTTTGAATACTATTTCCCCAAATTAAATTAAGTGTTTTATAAACCAGATTACATCTGAAGTGATTTCCAAAGCACCAATGTAAGAAACTATTCTACTGTTCAACAATGTAAGTCAACAATAAATGGCAATTGGATTCTAAATAAAGTCAACTAGCTCATTTATAGTTGGCCAGATCAGCAACAATGCCAGTTGCAGTATACCTTGGGGCTATTACATGTAATAGAATCTCTCCAGACAAAACTAGACGGTTGACAAATAAAGAGATTGAATTAAACAAAAATCTTTCCACAAAGAAAAACCCAGGAACAGATAAATTCTACCAGTTTAAGAAGAAATAATACCAATCCTTCACAAATTCTCCCCCCAAATAGAGGGAACACTTTCCAATCTATTCTATGAGGAAAATATTACTTTGATACCAAAGCCAGACAAAGACATCACACAAAAAGGAAAATTATAGATCAATATCCCTCATTAATATAAACACAAAAATCTTGAAAACACTAGCAAATTGAATCACAATCAAGTGGAATTTATCCCAACAACACAGACATAAACTAATGTAATACATTATATTAAAAGAATAAAAGACAAAACCACAAGATTATCTTAATAGAGTTAGAAAGCACATTGGACAAAATCCAATATTCATTCATGATAAAAACCCTAAAAAAATCAAGGAATATAAGGGAGCTTCCTCAACGTGATAAAGAACACCTATGAAAAACCTACAGCTACTGGCATACTAAATGCAGACAGACTAAATGTTTTCTCCCAAAGATTGGGAAAAAGATAATGATGTTTCCTCTCACCACTTTTTTTCAACATGTACTGAAAATTGTAGTCAGGGTAATTAGATAAGAATAAGAAATAAAAGGCATCCAGATTGGAAAAGAAAAAGTAAAACTATCTTCATTCACAGACAACATAACCTTGTATATAGAAAATCCTAAGGAAAATACTAAAATACTACTAGAACTAATAAATGAGTTCAGCAAGTTAGCAGATTCAAAATTGCAGTAGGTAGAATTCTGGCTCCCATGATCTTCAGCTCCTGGTGTTACATCTGTGAATATGTTATGTTACACTGAAAAAGAGACACTGCAAATGTAATTAAATTACTAATCAATTGGCCTTAAAATATAGGGAGATTATTCTGAATTATTTGAGTAGCATCAAAGTAATCACATTACCCCCTAAAAGCAGAGAACTTTTTCCGGCCGGTGGAAGGATAGAGATTAGAAGCACAAGAGAAACTAAACCCACTATTGTTGGCTTTAAGATGGAAAGATCCATATAGAAAGTATAAGAGGGAAATATTTTTTGCCAAAACCTGAATGAGATTGGAAGTGAATTCTTTCCCCAAATCTCCAGAAAAGAATGAAGCCTTGCCAATGCCTTGATTTTGGCCTTGTGAGACCCCAATAAGAGAACTCACTTGAGCCATGCTGTGCCCCTATTCTCAGCCCCCATCTCTCCCTCCCCCTGCCATCTCTAGTATCCTTAGCTTTGTTCTCTCCTTCTGAAAGTTCAGTGTATCCTCTCCTTGGAAAATTAACAAATATATGAAAACTATGGGGTTTTTTTAGTGTTTTCTTCCATCTTTAAAAAAAAATATTTTTAGCATATTCATCATTACAAATAGTAATCTTTCCCCACACCCACTACCTGGACTATCACTCCCCAGTCCCCATCCCTCCCTCCCCCCACCATCTCTAGTATCCTTAGCTTTGTTCTCTCCTTCTGAAAGTTCAATGTATTACTGTGGTCTTTCTCTCCTCTCCTCTCCTCTCCTCTCCTCTCCTCTCCTCTCCTCTCCTCTCTTTCCCTCCCCTCCCCTCCCCTCCTCTCTCTCCCTCCCTCCCTTCCTTCCTCTCTCTCTTTCTTCCTTCCTTCCCTTCCTTCCTCCCTTCCTTCATTTATTTCTTTCTCTCTTTCTCTTTCTTTCTTCCTCCCCT